AAGTGTTTCATAGCTCTCGGAGTCCCACAGGCCTGTCAGCCAGCACGTTCAACACCTAGTGAGAACCTTCCATTTGATCTCTCCTTCTCTTTTTAGGCTATAAATTAGACTTAGTCCGCTTTCCTCCCATTTGGTCTTATAAGCCTATTAATTAGTCCATAGGAGTTCTTAATTTCATGCAGAGCAGAGCATGCTTATGGCCACACCATTGGGCATTAATTTTGAAACTGAGTTGTAGGCTTCTCCATAAAGTTCTGAACTAAAACCAATGCCCCAGTGGGGTGACCAGGGACACTGTGCTGTAATAGGTACCACCTTTTGTACATGGTGCTAAAACAAGGTACTAATTATTTTGTCATTTAAGATCCCATGTTACTGATTTATTGAGAAGGTGTGTTAATCCTGGTAATCAGGCTAAGCTTACCGTGCACAATTTGGCTTACTTCAATTTCAACTTTATTATGACAAGTGAAGCAATTCCTCACTTCTCTACTTGATCCGTTAAATGTCCTCCACCTATCTGTTGTTCAAGATGCATCTGGTGGCCCCTGACAGTGAGTCATTACCTGAGTAACTAGATCAAGCAGGTGTCTCCTGCACATTATTGTGAAACACTGAACAAAGTAACTATTCTCAATAGTAATGAGATTTGCATTTTAAGAAAACAGCAAAGAGATTGCAGGAACGTTTTTGTATATCTTATGATGAGAGATATGCAGAGACCTGCCATGTAACACTAAGAAGGCATGGAGAAGTTCAGGTGGGCAGTTGCATCAGCATGCGTAGTCTGCAAAGGAACAAGTAATAGGTTTATTCCATGCTGAAAAGAGAAGAAAGAAAACACAACATTTCGGCTGTGAAGCCTTCTTCAGGTGCCTGGAGAGTGCTTCACAGCTGAAACGTTGTGTTTTCTCTCAACTAAGAAGGCATGACAGACAGAGTACAATGCTGACAAAACACTGTGTACAGAAATGAGCAGACACAAACACGGTCCTCACAGCTTATCTTTGTACATGTGATTCAATTGGCCTTGCAGTAGGTGATATTTCTATGCCACTATACTGTAGAGGACAATTGCTGCCATTGTTTCATTTTATTTTGGGTAGCAGGCATCTGCAAAAGTCGGAGTGTTCAAGATTTCACTGAATTAAATACATGAAGAAACAATTACACTCCGAAGGCAAGTGCTGTTGTTCTTATTGTCTCAATATCTGTGTATATCTAAGATAACATGTAACTTACAAGGCTGTAATAATTATGCAGTTATGTAATTTAAATAGAAAGTACTATAAACAAAACATATTTCCTAATAAAATGCTAACATGAATGCTGTTGTTTTTTCATACTAGTACAATCCTAATTAACTTACAAGGGGCTCTTTGTCCTGTGTATTAAAATATTTGGCATTTTGTGACTTCTTAGTCATAATCACTCTTCTTCTTTGTTTCTGGTTGTGTCTAGTTCATGTTTCACTACTGATCCTAAGTATCTTAATTTAAGATAACTTCATCAATACCTATACCTATACATCAATACCTATCACGTTTTCTCATTGTCTCTTTTGTTCAAAATAACAGACATTCAGCAGTTTTAACATATTTTATGAAGACATTCCATTAACTCCAAGAAATAATCTTGTTACTCTTCCTTAGACTGGTTTTGGAGCAACAGTTACTTTAAATTACCATTGACTCTTTAGCCAAAGGTTCCACAAACAGGAAATCCTTATAATGAATTGTGGGTAAAATAACATGAGTTATTTGATGTATTTGTTTTAATAACACAGGCAGCAGAATATTTCTGTACATGGAAGCATTAGTGCAAAAACGAAAAAAAAAATAGCCTTGACACCTTTATGTATTTAACATAAAAAGAGGTGTGAATTAACATTACACAAGCACAAAATGTGGGCCGACATACACAAAATAAGTTAGTTGGTACAGTAGTCTGACACAATACAAAACCATGTCATAAGAAGGTGGGTCTCAAGAAAGTGTTTGAATGTTGATGGAGATGGTGCAGGCCTGATGTTTCATTTCCAGCAGTCTGATTCCACCATTAGCATGCTTGGGAAGAAACTGAGCAATCCACTGGGTTACGTTTACCAGTTTCTTTTAAACTTTTAAATACTTATTGTATATCAAGTCCCCTCATAACCTCATCTGCTTAAGACTTGCTCAAGACTCCTTAAGTCTATATGTACAGTATATGGCAATCTTTCTAATGCCGGAACTATTCTGATCAAACTCTACTGAGCTCTTTCTAGTGCAATATCCTTTTCATAATGGAAAGACCGTAAGTAAATGTTCTTTATTTCTTTCTTATGTTCTCGAAAGCCTGATGGCCTAGAAATAGGAAGGCCATAATAATACAGGTAAATTCATTGACAAGATTTCAGAACAAGATTGTCTTGAAACAAGAATAACAAGTTCCAAAAACAGGAAGGAACATCTAGGATAACTGAATCCTCAAATATTTTAAAGGAGTAATCACTGTCAAAGATTTGCAGCTTAAACAAACATTTAATAAACGAGTGAATAACTATTGAAGATGGAGGACACCAATACTTATGCCTGCCTCTGTATATATCAAAGGCAGCTTTCACATGAATATGCACCAGTTTCTCCCATGCAACAGCTTAGAACATTGCTACTTTGTACTCTGGTATAAAGATCTATAAAAGTTATCTGGTAGTCAGGCTACTCTATGCCATCAGAAATAATTTATTGCAATGTATGTGGGGGAAATCTTGATGTGTAACACAATGTGGAAAAAGAGGTGAATGAGTAAATGCAAATCGTCTTGTCACACTTGACATTGTTACTAAAATCCTTCAAAGCATTATTCGTTAATCGAATTAGCTTGTCTTTTTTATTATCTTTCACAACCACGGTATAGAAAAATAACTGTCTTGATACACAGCAGGAGTAAAGGAAAACTGGACTGCTCATTAATATGGAAATAGAACTAGGTAATAGGTTTATTCCATGCTGAAAAAAAGAAGAAAGAGAACACAACGTTTCGGCCGTGGAGCCTTCTTCAGGTGTGAGAGACACAGGGCAGTAGGCAAAGGTAAAGTAGCGGGAGAACAAAGGCTGGGAGGGAGGAGGAGTGAGAGGCGGGAGCAGGGGACAGAAAGAGAGGCCAATCAAGAGGTGTGAAGTCAGAATGGGTGCAGAGAGGTGTGAAATGAAACTTCCAATGAATGGAGAAAATTTAAAAGAACAGTAATCTGTCGTTAAGGGAAGGGAGAATGTGTGATCCTAGCTGCAGAATAATTTTAGTTTCGGTGGTCTTTCTGATGTATGAGTTCGGAAAACGGTCTTTGAGAACACAAACGGAGAGATTAGAGTGGTCGTGGCCGTCAGAGGTGAAATGAGAAACAATGGGCTTGGAGATATCTTTAATCTTCACAGCCCTGACGTGTTCTCTGAAGTGGTCTCCAAGTCTCCTTCCTGTTTCTCCAATGTAGATGGCTGGGCATTTACTAAGAGATACAGTAAATAAGGTTGCTGGAGGTACAAGATGCTGTCTGGGTGATCCGGAATTGTCCTGAGGGGCCTTGAATGAGTGTGGTGGTGGCTGTGTACTTGCAGGTGATACAGCGAGCTCTGTTGCAAGGGAAAGTGCCTGGTGTGGATGGTTGTTGAGGGTGGTCAAGGGAGCTGTGAACAAGGAGGTTACGCAAATTAGGTGGTCGGCGATATGAGATGATAGGGCGATCAGAAAAGAGGGCCCCTATGGAGGGATCATCCTGTAGGATGGAAAAGTTCTGGTTAATGGTCCTGGGGATAGGAAGTGTGTTAGGGTGGTAAGGAAGCACCAAAGGAATGCAGTTGTTACGGCGGGAGTTCCTGATCGGGTTGATGGTCCGGGGGGTGTTTTTGGCTCGGGCAAGGGCCCTGTCAATCACACTGCTGGGTTATCCTCTGTTGATGAAAAATGAGTACATTTCGAGGGCTTGGTTCTCGAAGTCGATGTCGTCGCTGCATAATCGTCGTAACCTAAGGAACTGTGAAAAAGGAAGAGAGTTTTTAGTGTGGTTGGGGTGAAATGAGCTGTACAGGAGGTAGCTGTGTGAATCCATGGGTTTGTAATAAACTGAAGTGGACAGTCGGGGGTAGTTGATAGACAAGTGGATGTCTAGAAACGGAAGAGTGGTGGAAGATATGTTAACCGTATATTTGAGGGACGGGTAGAAGTTGGTGAAATGGTGCAGGAAGAATTCAAGCTGATCGTTGGAGCATGTGGCGGCACCGACGCAGTCATCAATATATCGTTTGTAGAGGTCAGGGACATAGCCAGTGTAGGAGGGAAATTCTTGGTCTCTGGTTAACTGAAGTATTACATTTTAAGATTTAAAAAAATTAAATTATGTTTCCTGCATACTTAAAATTTTTCATACAAACAGAAAAATTTGAAGTCCTTTATTCTGTACAGAATTACTGTCAATCATTAAAAAGAGTAATCTAATTATTTTTTGTTTTTTTTTTTAAGAAAGGAAAATCACGCAAAAGAAATGTCACATACTGTACAGGTTTTAATTTATTTAAAATTTAAATTAAATTTATTTGATCCAGTAACAGGGCTTAATTTGTCTATGTCAAACGAACATTAAAGTAAAAATGTATTTTCATGTCCAAATTCAGTGTAATTTTCATTCCGGGAAAGGTTTTGTTTGACAAAGGTATGACCTTTCTCACAAGGTCTCACAAAAAGGGCAAACATATCTATCTGAAACTTTTGCATTTTACCCATTTAAACGTTTTATGATGTTGAGTGACATACAGTAGTACCATTTAGTTATGAAGTTCGACAAGTGCAATTGCCTTTAACGGTTTATAATATTTCTCGGTCTGTGCTATTGTAAACCTGAGATGTAAAACCAAATCGTCTTGATAAAGGGAGACGTGCATGCAGATTATGTCAGCGGAATGATTCGCACAGAATGTACAGAGAGTGAGAGTGAAGTAGCCAACATTCCCCCTCTCTCTAACATGGAGTGTGTCTTGTGAATGTCATCATTCAATCTGGAGCTTTCTTAGTGACTGGTGACTGAGGGGAGGTACTATGGAGGTACTTCATTGCATTTGTACCGGATTGGCCTCCTAAAAGCGTGTTACACTGCAATGAGAGATGTTGGCGTGTTGTAAGCGGTGAGATGACCTACCATCTGCTTCCTTTTTCATGTATGTGTCAACGATCACGCACACTCACGAAAACCCTTTATAAGCAAGGAGCACCTGGACCGAGACGTAGAGTGACTTTATTTTCTTATTCATGTTATCTCTGAGAAAAAAAAAATGATTCAAATTTCTTCTTCTTTTCGCACGCTGTACTGAATCCAGGAAGTGGAGCTAGGTAAGATAATTGTTTTGGCATTGCTCACAATATATTCCTATAAAGCTTGTTGAATTTTAAAAACTGGTGTGGATATATAAACCTGATACACGCTAAAGACACGTGTGGCGCGTTATTTCATATATATTGGCTTGACCAGATTATATTTCTTACTATTGTTGCTTCAGGGAAAGGTACCAGATACATTAAAATGTGTACGATATTTTGCACGTCGATTCTCATTGATTCGGTCTCGGTGCCACGCTGTAACTTCCCTTAGCTTGTATGAGCCAACCCTCGAAGATCATCGTTTTTTCTGCCTTAAATTTGCAATATGGCTTTACAAAACTTTATTTTGTAACGATGGCCACATGAAATTGAGTATACTGGCTACGTATGTAATCAAATAACAATTGTATAGCAACGCGCGATAAGAATGGCTAACACATTCTTAAGAGCGGGCGGTAAATAATTTTATGTAATTTATTTACTTTTACTGAAATTTATCGAAGTAAAGTTTTCTGCAGTAGCTGTCATTTTAGCTTTGCAATGCATAGCGATGCCATCCTGTTAAGAGTTCTATTTTTAACAACCGAATACATTACTTTACACGTGTTCTGTTTGATTTGCACCGGTTGTATTCTTTGAATTGCATCACCTCAATTGCGAAATCCTCACTCTGACCATTAGCCCCAAATACATCCCCTAAAATTACATACAGTGGCTTTAAGTTAAAATACTATGTATTTCAAGAATCTCTGCATGAATTGTATCGCTCTTGATTAGAATTATTATTCTTTCTAATACAGGATAGCCAATAAAATGTTTAAGGTTATGTATTGTCAAGACTGTTACAATTATCTGTACTGAGTTTTTCTGTTTCTCTAGCTACTTTTTAAATTACACTCCTCTCTGTGTTTCTCTCCTTAAATTGTTCTTCTGAAAAGATTACTTGTTCATAAAAGATGCGTTTTTAACTTGACAGAAAAAGAAACGTACATTTAGAGTACAATATTTTTTTTAATTGTGTTTTCTTACCATTAAAAGTGACAATCATGCTCTTAAACGTTTTTCCATTACTTTAACCACGGAAAATAGTCTAATGTGTAAGACGGGCAAGGAGACAGCTGACCCAAATTCTGGGTCTGTGTTGACAGAGTGAGCGAACTGGGCATGAAACTAATATCTTTTTTGGTTAAGAAACATCTGTATTTTGCTAGGTTTTAAGACTGCAACTGGAAGCCTATTGCAATTTCAAATATTTTTTCCAGCTTTTGAAACTGCTGGTTTATGTCCCAAGTTGAACAAAATTACTCATTAATTAAAATTGATCCTGATATTCAAAATCCATTCAAAATATTATTGTGAATCACTGCATCTGTAACACTTCATCAGCATGTAAAATTTTATGAAGTCAGTGCCTGAAATATTTTCTGCATTAATATGTATACTCACAACAGGTCAGAACCCTGTTTGGCAAGCAACAAGCAGCTCTTGGTCCTTATTGCCTGATCTTGGAAGATCTCAGACAAAAAGCAATACTGAGCCTTGATTGGGAAGCCTCCCCAGAAATCAGTTGGATGATTCAGATGGTGTTGAGGGGCTTGTAAGTGGAACTTTTTCCTTTGGACCAGGATTTCCAAACCAGTGGCTTAGTATGGTGACAGATGGATGGGTGCTGTAGGAGGTCCAATTATCAGATGTGATGCTAAGCTGTGATCCCGACTACTTGTTCATTAACAATCTTATGTTAATGATTTGTTAGAATGGTGGTTATCATGGAATTCCACTCTGGCCTTGAACAATCTGGCTGTATTAAAGGTTCCCCTTAATTCAGGTGGTAAAGCGGTTTCTCTGATCTGCAGCGCCCAGATCTGCATTGCAACGAAGTTACTGGCACATACTGTATAAGCTGATCCGTGTGTCTCTGGTGAGATCTGTACTGTAGTAGTGGTTGGTGTGTGTGTTTTGAAAAAAGTGATCTAGAACACAAAATGCTCTTGAGCAAAAATTGTTTGGCCAGTTAACTCCAAACCTGACAGCACGCAACAATACATAGTGGCAATACGAACATATGGAGAAATGGTGTTCCTGCATAAATCACAGTGACCCTTGAGTTTTGTTTGCAAAATTCAAGTTACCATTGTCTTGGAAACACTGCACCAAATTATCTGAAATTTGGCAGGTTTCACTACCCTGACCGGCTTTAGAATTGTGCTTGCAGCAATACTTTACACTCCCTCACCAGATACTCACTCAACAGGCAAGGTGCCGCTGGCAGTGCTAATCACTCTTCTTCAGCAACTATTTGTCCAATGATCTCCAAACCTGGCAGGAGTTATTCTAGGTTCCCATGCTGTTTATGCACAGTTCAATCTTGGTGTTAAAGAAAGTGAAAGTCTTCAGATTTGCTTGCAGTTTTCTAGCTATTTATGTGACAAAGCTAACTCTTTATGGATTCTGTAGCGTTAATCCTTAAGTGTGAAAATTAAAATTTTGCACCATTTATAAATCTTTACGAAGTAAGAATGTTCAACTGTTTTTGTATGAACTTTTATCAGTTTTCTTCAAGAACATGAAGATAACCGGGTATATGAGAACTTAAGGAATATTAAACTTTCTGAAACTGGAGAAGTCTCTTAAACTGTGTTCTTCTATGGCACGTCTCTTTTCCCAGGCTTGTCCCAACTTTCTTGTCTTAATTAGTCTTAATTACACTTTCTGAATGGCAGAGGTGTGTAGCCTGACCTCAAATCTGGTTGCACCATGGAAGAGTGTTATTGGAGTACCTGAGGGTACTTGTAAACACATCCACTGATTTATTTTCCTAAATGGACAGTAGAGGTGTAGACTGTTATTTTTAATAAGATTGTAGGAAGTGCTTCAGGCAGCTACACCTGTTTTATTGCTTGTCAAGTGATGAGTCTACTTTAACATTAGCGCACTGTCTTAATCACTACAAAACCAGGAGAATTCCCTCATTAACTGCAATTTATTTGCATATGTGTCCTGCCTTAAACCAAAATCTATTAGGATGTTTACAGTGCCAGTATCAGCACGAGTGACTGAAAGTGCAACATAAATTAATCTTAATTTGTGAATGACTTTTGAATTAAGAATTTAATTACCAAACTGAAGTGTGAGCACATACTATTGTTTCTATGTGCTCTGATAAAAAAAATCCAGATTTAAGTCTAATCAAAGTTATTTCTTTCCCAATTTCTTGTTTCTAACAGCTGATTACAAATAAAATATGAATAATAAGCTGTTTCTAGTATTGCTAGGTTCAGGGGTTCTTAATGCAAAGCAAAGCAATGAAAACTTTTTGTGCTGCTCGATTTTCTCTGCAGTTGCAAATTAAGTATGTCAGTTATGTTAATAAGTGTCCCAGATCCAAGGGAGTAGTCTTTCTTGATGGTCTTGTTCTGTGCTTTACAAACCCTTTCAGCTCACAGCACGCTTTTCATGTTCCAAACGTATTGCAACACAGCAAATTATTTAAAGGAAAACAACCCTCATGTTGCAGGAAATAACATTTATTCCAAACTGACTGAATATAGACTGCAGTTTTAATGAGAAATATTTGGCATTTCACTTGTCTAATTTTCGGCAATGTAATCGAAACAGAGTGTATGGTGTAATGGTACAATGGTAATATAATGGTGTATGAGCTCAGCCTGGTCAAATCGCTCTACATCATGACCATCACCATTGGGCTTAGTCATTTGTTGTCATTTGAAATTACTTTAGAGTATTTTGACATGGGTCTAATCCTTTATCTCATTTTCAAAGCCCGAGCAAACCTCTCATGTCTTCCACTCTGGTCTCTGTGTCCTGAACCTAGTTCCTATCAAATTTGTGCACAAACAGATGTTACTTAGATCTAATAGAGTTGATGATTAAGCCCCAAATTGACAAGATTGGAAATAAAACAGTAACAGATGTATATCAAGATGAGGATCGTAGTCTTGCCAGGGTGCACAGTAATCTGCTTACAGTATGTTGCCTGTATCATAAAGCAAAGGACATTTTTGTTTTGCCAATGCATTTTTTACAGGGCTAAGCAAGAAATAATATCAGCCATCCTAAAGCAGACATTCTTTCACTAATAACTGTTCAGTAACACATAACGGTTGTTCTTGGTAGGTATTCCACCACTGAAATATATGTTCGGTCTAAATAAGACAGGAATCTCTCCTGTCTTGCTTAAAAAAAAAAAACATGGTATAGAGCATGAGTTTTGGGGGTGTCAATGCCAAAGTATAGCTCTTTTATAGCAAAGTCTGGAGCAACTGTAGAGCCTAATAGCCAAGAGTTAGCGGTCTGAGGTGAAATGATGATGATGATGATAATAATAATTATTATTTTTATTATTTTACCATGAAGGATATTTTTTCTCACACAGACAAAACACTTACAATACTGAGATTTGAAGTACCTTGTTTCAGGCCAGGATACATGCCCTAGGCTTCAAGGGGCCTCCATCTCAGTTCTTCGGACAGTTTCAAGATCCAGCTTAATTGATGTCTGTGTGTTTTAAAAATGTTGCATGGAGCTTGTCAGGTGACAGGATTTGACCAATTTGTTTTGATGTCTCGCTGAACTCCAGTCAGGCGCAACAGTTAGATTTTTTTTGTGCAGGGGTTGTAAGACTCTGTGGGTTCAGATGTGAAGTTATTAAATTAAAGGCTGGCACAGACACAAGGAACTTGCACCTTATTAGTTGCAAGTCCTATTAAAGCAGAGGAAGTAGAGTCTATGGCTTTTAAGCACTGCGGAATGCCAGCGGTACAGCATGTACAGCTTAGGGCTATCATTGTTACAGCCAGTTTATTAAATTGGATGTGTTGCAGCAGAACACTATGGGCAGAGGATTAGTGTGGTATGTTTAACATTTTTTTTCTTTTGAACTTTTATTGTGCTAATCAGTAGATGCTATTTACCTTTTTTTCCTTCTAGTGGTCTGCATCATTTTCTGCTTATAGTTTGAAGTTTATTTTCCCTGGGCAGGAGCAGTTTTTACTGTGCGCTAGGCTGCTGTCTGATCCTTTCTGTATCACAACATGCACAGCTGATACTGGTGACTGTGATACAGACGAGGTGTTCAACAATGAATAGCAAACTTATTTTTGAACTTCTCATTCATAGAAACTGGATTTCAATTTTGAACTGCTGTCTTTGCATAGTCTGAGTAGCACACCACAATATTTTGGTACCTAATATTATAGTAGTTGCCAGGTAATGTGCAGTTAAAGAAAAAATGTATTCAACAGTTACATTTACTGAAAAGTAGGATGAGTGTAGTGTGACAAAACTATTTCACTCATAGTTTTTCACTGGAGTGCTCCTTTAACACTAGGTAGTTCACTCAAATTAAGTATTAAGAAATGCATTTTGAGTACACCAACTGGTTTAAATCTCACACTATCACAGATTTCACATTGTAAGGATCACAGTGCAACATACTGTATTGCTCTGTACTAGTCCATCCATCCACCCACCACTTTAATAAATACAGGGATGTGGGAGAGCCAGAGCCTATCCCAGCAAGCAATGTGTGCAAAGTGGAGTACACCCTAAAAGGACACCAGTCCATCACACGGCACACCAGGGCCAGTTTACCTACCATTATGTGTTTGGACAGTGGGGGGAAACCAGAGCACCTGGAAGAAAACCCACATCAACACAGGAAGCTATTACAAACACCACACAGACAGCATCCAAGAAATTGAACCCAGGGCACCAGTGCTGTGAAACAGGAGACAGCAATGCTAACTCCTGTGCCACCATGCCATTTCTCTGTAGTGCTCATTAAGCACTTATTAAAATGTTACATCTATTTTAGTGCACCATGATTGAAGGTTATTGACTTTATATTATAGTTTGAAGAAAAACCTACCACAATATAGAAACAATGCAGTAAGTGAACTACATTTCTTAGGATGACTTAAATGAAAATGGAAAGATAATTATAGTCATCAAATAAAAAAAACATACTTGTACGTAGATATGGAGTGAGGCAGTCATCAAGGATTCATGCCTGGCTAATTCAGTTGAGCTTTCACACTGCAACTCACAACTGGCAGCCCACTGAAGCTAAGCAGGTGTGAGCCTGGTCAATACCTGAATGGGAGACTCCTGGGAAAAACTAAGGTTGCTGCTGGAAGAGGTGTTAGTGGGGCCAGCAGGGGGCGCTCACCCTGCGGTCCACGTGGGTCCTAATGCCCCAGTATAGTGACGGGGACACTATACTGTAAATAGGTGCCGTCCTTTGGATGAGATGTAAAACGGAGGTCCTGACTCTCTGTGGTCATTAAAAATCCCAGGGCGTTTCTCGTAAAGAGTAGGGGTGTAACCCCGGCATCCTGGCCAAATTTCCCATTGATTGACTTACAATCATGGCCTCCTAATAATCCCCATCTATTTTTCATTACTCTGCTCTCCTCCTCACTGATAGCTGATGTATGGTGAGCGTTCTGGTGCAGTATGGCTGCCGTCACATCATCCAGGTGGATGCTGCACATTGGTGGTGGTGGAGGGGAGTCCCCATTACCTGTAAAGTGCTTTGAGTGGAGTGTCCAGAAAAGCGCTATTTAAATGTAAGCAATTATTATTATAATAAAGTTTACTTGGAGCTGCCTACCTTCTGGACACCATGAGATAGCACTTGGGAGAGATACTGACAAGGCTTGTCAGTATCTCTCAGACAAAGGAGGTTTGCAGATGTCAACTAGGGCACAATGAGATAACAGTGAAGTTGTGTAGCTCTGTTTGTTTAGTCCAAAGTAATTTTCTTGTTATCTGTATTACTAGTTGGGAATTAACTAGGGAATTAAGTGAAAATCTACATTTACAGCAGTACTAAGCTTTAAAATAAAGGAGTCACAAGACCATTGTTTGCATTTATTCGCTTGCTGACACAGCTTTGGAAGGGAGTAGTAAATTGGGATCACAGACTTTTAACTCTTTACCATCCAGCTGGGTGTTCAGATTCTATTCAACATGGGCTTTGTGAGCTGGTGTGCTATTTTTATTCCATCTTTAAGTGAAAATTGCATATTGAAAATGTCATTTAGCATGCTGGAGATAACAATTTGTTTAATCATTTCATTGACTTCCCCACACTGCTTCAGTGTGCACAGTTGCACAATCTAAGAAGATTACAGTGTTCCTGTTCATTAGTCCCTGGACTCCTGTAGGGGGGTGACCTGTTGCTCTTATTTCCAGCCTGTGTGCTGGGTTAATTAAGCGGCCCACTTGTGTTACCCAGAGGGAAAGGCTGAACTATGTTATCTAATCATCCTTTCAAAAGGTAGTGCTTTGGTGTTGTCTCTTGCAAGCACCCTAAAAACACAGTGAATGAATTGTGCCTGCAAATACTTGTAATTTCAAATATTTACACTCTTAAAATTCTTTAATTTCTGCTGTGTAAATGAATAAGGTGCCCACAATATGATTTGTTTTCAAAATGTAAAATAAATGTTGACATTTATTTTGTAAAACAAAGGCAAATATAAAATACTTTACCATATGTTATTGGTTTACTTCAAATTCATTTTTTCTTTAATTCTTCATTCAGAAATAAACTTTAAAAAACCCTTTTAAAGGGAAACACAGGTTCATTTAAATTCTTGATTGGTTCTCTTTCAGGTTTTGAGGTGGACCAGACTGTTAATGATGCAACTTGATTGAGCTTAATTTTTAAAAACATACTGCTTCCTTTGTTCAGCCACTGTGAGACATGGCCAATGACAGTGACAATAGCTCCACCAGCTCAGTGCGACTGAAAAAGGAGATCTCCCTGCTCCATGGAGTCTGCCTGATCGTGGGGAACATGATTGGCTCGGGAATTTTTGTGTCCCCCAAGGGGGTCTTGCAGTACACAGGCTCCTACGGGCTTTCCCTGGTCGTTTGGGTGATCGGAGGTGTGTTTTCTGTGTTTGGAGCACTGTGCTACGCGGAGCTGGGAACCACCATCCGGAAGTCTGGAGCCAGCTATGCGTATATCCTGGAGTCATTTGGGGGCTTTTTGGCCTTCCTCAGACTCTGGACCTCTCTGCTGATAGTGGAACCGGCTTGCCAGGCTGTTATTGCATTGACCTTTTCAAACTACCTTGTCCAGCCATTCTACACAACCTGCCATCCGCCATACAATGCAGTGCGGCTCATAGCTGCTGCTGTCATAGGTGAGTGAGTTTTTCTTCATCTTCCCCCAAGACCACACTGTGTGTGAGTTACAGTATGTGACCTGCCAATGATTTATGCAGTTATGGTTATGAATGTTGTTGGCCTATTCAGACAGCTGATGAAAAATGTGCACTGTGAAGAAATGGAGCCAAGAGGAACACATTCCCTATGGACTGTGACTGTACACACCAGGGGGTACTGACATTACTGGTTTCCACAACTTTATATTCTATAGGAATGCATTGCAGAGAGTGTAATAGACAGCAGTGATGTTGGCACCCTCTGTTGTGTACATGTCACTGCTTCACCGTGCACAGTATGATGGGGTTGTCTGAATAGGTCCACAAAGTTTATGCACATCTTATGTTTAATTCAGTGTTAGGAGTTTAATTGCAACTCTCCATTTAGACATTTCCTGAAAATAAACCAGCTTCTCTGTTTTCCATTTGTGGAAACATGCGAGATGTTTGCTGATCCATATAGATGTATGCAAAATTTTGGGCAATCCTGGTCAATTTGCACGTTTCACAAAATCTCTAATTAAAAATTAGTTAGCACAACCTCTGCAGGGTACAAACTTAAAGTGACATATATGCACATTTTAATGCAGTATTACTATTTATTTGCTGAATTTAACAGATTGAAAATAAAACATTGCATGTCGCATGTGCAAAAGTTTGGACATTACTGCCTCCCAGTGGTGGGATCTCTTTTTTTCAATTCTGGAGATGGGGTACCATCTGCATGGAGTTTATATGTCCCCCCTGTGTTTGCACGGGTTTCCTGAAGGTGCTCCAGTTTCCTCCCACAGTCCAAAGACTTAGACACAACCCTACCATACTAGTAGGTTAATTGGCATCTTGGAAAACTGGCCCTGGTTTGAATGTGTGAGAGTTTGTGTCTTTGTTTGTGTGTGCCCTGCAGTGGACTGGCAACACGTCAGGGGTGTATGCTGTCTTGCGCCTGTTGCTTCCAGAGAGGCTCTGGCTCCCTCACGACCTTGTATTAGATGAAGCAGTTAGAAAATGGATGGATAGAATTTGCATCATATATTGTCCTGTTATTTTCGAACGAATGTTTAAATGTGAAATACTGTGCTAAACAGTGAAGTAAAATGCAAATTAATCTCTCCAATATTTCTGGAGTGTTTTAATAAATGTGTGGTGCCAACAGTGGCACTGTCATAATCTACAGCACTCCACTGTTGCATGTCAGCATTTCTATATAAAGACATGCAGGGGTTTTCATAACCTGGATATCGTTTTTAAAAAATATTTACCATTTCTTAAGAGAAACAAAAATGTATTGAGTTAGTTGAGACATGGGGGAGACATGGTGTATGTGAAAGATAAATATATTTTTCAGACAGTAAGCCCATGTAAATATACTTTGGAAGTGGCAGTTTGTATGTTCTCCCCATGTTCACGTGGGTTTCCTGCAGGAGCATCTGTTTTTTCCGACACTCCAAAGACACATCGGTAAGTTGATTGGCTTCTGGGAAAACTGGTCCTGGTGTGTGTGTGTGAATCAGTTTGTATCTTTTGAACTACAATGGAATGGCATCCCATCCAGGGTGTATTCCTGCTTGCGCTCGTTGCTTGCTGAGACACCTTCTGGCTCTCCTGCAACCCTCTACTGGATAAAGCAGTTAGAAAATGCTTGGATGTATTTTGTCCCACCAAAATGTGCTGGCCAGTTCTAGCAATAAAGCAGTGTGGAGTCTTGCTGCATGCTCTTTAATCTTTGATTATAGGTTTATCTTTAATCTTTGATCCTAAGTCATGCTCAATATATTCAGTTTTCATTCTACCTGAACAGTTAATGACCTAATTGAATCAATTACTGGTCTTAATGTGGTACTTTTTCTAACTCTTCAGTTATTATGGCATTTGGGTTCCCTTTCTGTAAAACATGTAGGAATGCTGCTCTTCCTGATTATATTAAGAACTCAGGTGGAGTAGAAACCAGAAGACACATTGTTACTCTAGGCCCAGGATTCAGAACCAGGTGGATATTACTATATCCATTCACTATATTCATTCGCTCAGGTAAATGCCTTTTGATTTAGCTCATATATGCAAGCTTGATTTTATGCACTTTTCCTTAATTGCTTCACTTTTATGATTTGCACCAATAAAAAAACAGTTTCTCATTCAGTTATAACATTGACTATACTTATTAACTAATGGTTGCTAATATTAGAACGTCAAGAGGTTAAAGAAATAAGAACAAGCTGTTATTATATATGAAATATTAGTTAATAGAATTGAAAAATGAACGGGCATTTTGTATGTTTTGTAGCTACTGTTTCGTCAGTTTTTTGTGCTTCACTCTGTAATTAGAAAATCGGTTTGGGATTTTTTGGTGTCAGTTTACAAAAGTCAGAATGGCAGCCCCTTAGATGTGGTCAATAAGTGAGGCAAGGGCTTATATTCCTGTTTTTAAAGGTGCTGTTTTTTTAGAAATATTTGGAGTTCATAGGAAAAAATAGGATTTTTAAGTGTTCAGGCTCAACTGTTAAATGAAAGTGAGGAATGACACACTAATGGATTTTCAGAAAACGGAAAAACATTGACTGAGGAGCACAAGGTTTCCACCTCTGCATCTGCATCAGTGTTTACATTAGGTGATAAGTATAAACTGCAAATCTCAAAGGACTTTAAAAGAGAAAAGGCTAAACACTTCCAGATTCTTCAGAGTATTTGTTGCTATTAATTTGATATGCTCAGTTGTTATCCTGATTTTTATTTAGTTTGCATTTGTAGTTGCAGGTTGTAAAATTTGCATTTGTAGAATGCACGCATTTGGTGTCTGTGCTTGGCTGAGGAGCCAGTGGTGAGAAGATAGTTAGCACCTGTGGGATTATGTTTGAACTTGTTTTATTTATAATCTCTCTTAAACAATTTTAGCAGAACCTAAGGAAGCTGCAGTTATAGGAGGCCACTTATACCACCTTCCTTCCTGTAGGTTTCTTGTAGTTTATTCTTTCATCAAGTTCAAAGTTCAATTATTGTGCTAAAAATCTCCCTAGAATGGCTTAGTTTCTGTACAGTGACAATAATTTTACAGTCTTCAAAGGAACAAGCAATAGGTTTATTCCATGCTGAAAAGAGAAGAAAGAAAACACAACGTTTCGGCTGTGGAGCCTTCTTCGGGTGTAAGCCACACTACAACCCGAAGTACGAAGTACAAGCCGAACTGTAACCCACCTGAACTACATATTACAGTCTTGTCAATCACAATCTTATTGTCATCTCACTGCCATCTTTCCTGTGTTTATGAGTGATCTGAGCACTGCCAGCTACACCTGGAGCTTTGAATGTAGAATGCATACTTTGTTTGCACTCATCTCATACACCCATTAAGTCAATGTTTAAATAAGTGAGAGCTCTGATTCTGTTGTGTTCCGTGCTTCAATTTTTTTTCTTAACACAAAGAATTTTGGTTCATCATGTTTTATTTTAACTGACTCTCTCTTATTCACTGAAGGAAAATCTCACTTCCATTTTTTAAACTATGAAATACTTAGATTTTACACAATGAAAGAAAACAGACAACATGAAATATGAAATGGGGGTTTGGAAAAGTACAGTTAAGTAAAGTACAGGAAATTTGTGTTTCACCAGCACAAGGTCAGCTCACTTGAAAACAATTGGTTGAATATTACCAGTCCATTAAAAATAATAACTTGTTTCCAATCAGTCTTTTAAAGACTTTTAGTTTCAAGATCAGGTTCACACTGATTGGCCATTAAGGAGCAGAGAACAAACTATATGGATTGCTGTTTATCAGAGAGAACATTCTATTGGGGAATGATAATGGTGTTTTGAAATGTAATATTTAATATAGGGGCCTTTAAATCATGACTCGGGGTAAGATGCCGTGTTCTTTCAAATTTCACAAGCTACACATCATTCTCCAAATTCTAAAAGTAACATGAGTTAATTCCTTCATTGGTGTACAACAACATTTTGATTACAAAGTTTTCTTCAAACTTGTGACATTAAAATACACTCATCCTACCAACATTTTATGTGTCTTACATTTCTTAAGCCCCATACTTAGAAAAGGCAGTTATTTCAGAGATCCAGGTGGATGCTGCACATTGGTGGTGGTGGAGGAGAGTGCCTATAACTTGCAAAGCGCTTTGAGTGGAGTATCCAGAAAAGCACTATATAAGTATATATTCTTATATAAGTATAAATTCTTAGTGTTTCATTTTTCCTATTTTGGCATGTGCATTACACTTGCATCTTGTATGAGCTTTATTGTCTTTTTATTAATGTATCTTGTTGTACTTAAATGATACATAGTACGTTGTTCTGGAGGATGGCATCTACTAACTTAATATGAATAATGTGGAGATTGTATGTGAGAATGCCTTTACTTTATCCCAGATCCAGCAAGACAGTGATATAATTTAGACTTAACAGTGCCAAAAAGTCTATATGAAGTATATCTGTGATCCTATCTTATGCAGCTGCTGAAAACATAAGTCAGAGAAACATGAGCTGTCATTCGTACTATCTGTCAGTGTCCCAGCGTGTTTGACAAGGTTGATATGCATGTTCTCTGCTACATTTCTACTTTTTTTCTATTTGCTTTACCAATTGACCAACCAAGCATTTATGATTTTTGAAAGGTGTTTCATAGCTGTCTAAGAGGAAGGGACGGGGTTTACTCAGCAAAGCATTTTCAGGATGAAGAAATTTTCCCTTTACAAAGAAAAAGGACTGTATTTAAAAAATATATTTTGCCACTGTGTAGACTCTGTACAAAGCCAAACTTTACACATCCTTTGCAAGACTAGTTTACTTAAAACAGCACTGAAGAGCAAGTGAAGTTTTCTATGGACATTGAAATGTTCTGTGATAAGGAGAGTGAAATGTATATCAGTCTTTTAATCATGTCTTAGTACAGGATGTCCAGTGTAGCACACAAAACCACATTCTCTGATTCACCTGCTTGATGCTCTGATACACTGCTGCTGTTATGTAATTTTGCAAGTTGTACCATTTGCATGTTCATTTACAGATATAATGTTTTTATCTTGTGATGTATGGATACAAGAATGACCTATTACTGCTGAATACTCTTTCATTTTGCTTTAAAACACGGCACCAGCAGCAAATCCAAATCGGGTGGCAGATAGCTGTATTTTAAGCTCATAATCACATGGAAAGTTCTCCAAACGCAGAGGAAATTTGTAAGTTTTTCAGCGGGACAGTCATCTGTCATTAATAATAGCCTTGAGTCGGATTGAAGCTTGATGGTCCCATTTTTAAATGTTAGTTGAACTTTATTTCAGGATGAGTCACATCTGACGACTTCCTCATGGAGGTAACAATGTAATTCTGGCACACACTACTTCCTCCTTTACTAGATAGCGAACAAACATGATTGTATTGCTACCTTTTTTCTGACCTGTGTCTTGCAGGCTTTTTTTGTTCTCATTTAAAGGGTCTGGAGGCTTGGATTATGTAATGATACAAAGCTCAACCTTGGCTGAGTGGACAAGTTGCTAATCACTCTCATGTGTGACTATTTAAATTCACTGCTTTACATTGCGTTAGTTATATAGTTAGTATAAGTGCACAGGCGTGGACATCTGTTTATGGACAGAGGTGAAAATTAGAGCGCGTTTGAAATTATGTCAGTTATGTTCCCATGTCCATTATAATGCTAGTGCATTGTTTTTGTGTGTATTAATTTGGTATGTTGTGTTATATGGGCAATCAAAAAATAACATTACCATACTAATTGTAATAAGTGTAGCATATAGAAAAGATCAATTAACACCCTAAAATACATTCCTGGCCGAACTGCCATTCTTTCTTTTCAGTTCTACCAACAGTGTGCTGATTTATTTGCAGTGTGTTACAACTGTTGTTTAGTTTAAATCGCTTCGCTCCCCATTAATCCAAACCCGGAGTCCTGAGGAGCTCCAAATTATCCGTTTGGTTTTATTAAATATTTTTGTAAAGATTGAATGATCTCATTGTGATTTACAATCACAACTTAGTTGTGACCTGCAGTTAAGTAGATGATTTGTTAAATTAAGTAATTTTGATATTATTTGGTACCTCATGCAATAGATTAATTGAATCGATTGCTTGCTTTTAATTCGTTTATTTTGCCAGTCAATTGTGAACAAATAGGGATTTTCTGTGTGATGTGGATACAGGGCTTTTACAGGAGCAATCTGAGTAAAGCGGATGTCGGTGGTCTTTACTATTCTCCAGTCTGGAGTCTAGAGTTTCTGACAGCAGCTGTGAGGTGTAGAGTCATCGATTCATGAATAACTTTCAGCTGTTTCAGCTAACTGGATTAGGGTCCTCCATGATCTGAATTAGAGACTCTTGGCCTGAACTGCCAACAAAAGCCTTTCCGTACAATTGTTTTGTTCAGTTTGTTGGAAACAGGATTACACCATGCACTGTGTGTGTGCAATGCATGATTAAAAACTAACGCTTTGTCTACACTTTTGCCAATCAATTGAGCACCAGTGCTTTGTGAAATTTGGCAAAATGACCCAGTTTGTTCTCTGAATGGTTGACCTTTTCCTGGCTGAGTTGCTTGTATCCCTGCATGTGCAACTGCACTGACAGAAGAAATATGCTATAGGGCAAGCCAACCTTTGAAGCTGTGCATTTTCACTGTTCACATTTGTTTATTCCTAAAAGCCACTTGGCACAGGTTCCATAGCTATGCTCTTAAGGTATGAATAAAAAAACTTTAATATATCATACTTGCATTTGACTGGGACCTTCTGTTATTTAAAAAGTGGTGACTAATCTACAAATAAAAACAGATCTAGACATGCCTCTGTATATTTCTAACCTTGCATAGCTGTTGAAATAAAAAACAGATATTGAACTCTTAAATTTGAATCCATTTGAGTTTTTCTGATTTGCAGAGAATTATGCAAAGAATTACACTTGTTTATTTGGGGTTTGAAACATCCAAAAGCCGGAAATGAAAATGTCTGAAGCCCTAAAGTTGTAATTCTCTTGCAACCTTAGCTTTAGCTTGTTAGAATAAATGTGGCTTACCAAACCATCAAATACAATTTTACAAGCCTATATAGTGAAATGGAGGCATTTAGTTACAAATTGTTTTCTTTACAATTTGTCTTACATGGACTCACTCTTGCTTACCACAAAAAGTCTTTGGGAGCTCATACTTTATTGCGTGGGCTGCAATGAAGAATAAAGCTTCATGCATTTTTCTGTGCAATTAAGTATACAGTATACTTTAGGAAAAAGAGAACTGTTTTAGTGTGAGGGAATTACTGAATTTCTTAATATTTTACCTTTTCATTTTTATAGATCACATTACAGTAGTTTTCAAAAGGTTTCCAGGGAACTGTGAGTGCAATATCCATTTCAAATTAATGTTATGTAGTCTACAGACACATCTGTATTTTTATTCTCTGATGTAATTTACAGATATGTTAAAACCTTGCCTATGAAAGAACATAAAAATATCTGAACCTTGAGTTGTTCAAGAGCCCAGAGTGGAAATGTCAATGCCCTTGGTGGTTTGTGAATGATGGGCTGAAGCCTGCTGAGTCATCTTTACTAACGTGTGTCCCTGCTGCACAGCTCTCCTCACCTGCGTGAACTCTATGAAGGTGAAATGGGGGGCTATGCTGCAAGTCGTCTCCACTGTGGCCAAGGTTCTTGCCCTGATTGTCATCATCATCGCTGGCTTGGTCAAGCTTTGCCAAGGTAATAGCTTCTCCCTCCATCTGGTGCTTCACTACAATCTTGTGCTCCTTCACACGAATAGAGTACTATTTGAAGTTTAAACTGGAAAGACCTGTGCTCTGACATTTTTCAGATGCTAGCTAAATTGCTGTTCCCCCTTTTGTCAAATAGTGCTGGGGACAGTATTTTTAGAAAATAATCCTTGCAGTTAAAGGTTATTTGTGTAAGGGACTGCTTTTTAAAATCAATAACAAAGCTTGGATTATATATGTGATAAGTCATTGTGATGCCCGACTTTTATAAATTACTTGTGTTTCTGCATCAGGAAAGAAGATCAGAAACGTTCTGTTAAAAGTGTAGAAGCAAAATTTCACTTAGCTGTAATTCGAATCCTTCAATTCTACAAGTAAGAGGAAGTTTTGAACTGAACTATAGGATGCTTATAAAGTTAGTTGACCAATTCCTACATCTACATTATGAAAACTAGACACGGAGTAGTGGAATTTGGTACACATGACTATGGAACCATAGGAAGCACTATGCCCTGAACATGACAGAGCATCCCAAGCTATACCTCTTTGACTGGAGTACTGGAAATATTGCAGTACGCACCTTCTGGTGGGCAGTGGTGGTGTTACATGTTTCCGGTGTGTACTGCTATCTATGGAAAAGTGTTCTGCATGGTCCCATTTGTACCTGGGTCATTGGTCTGTAATTCAGTTTTCACGATACAGCTGTTTAAACAGGTCAGCTATCATTTCAAGCACCCATATATTTCCAATGGCCTCTTCTAAATCTATCTGATCTGATCATCATAAGAATCCGGGCTTTTCACATCTTAAATGTTTACTTGATTCAGCTCAGCCTGTTGCTAATGAGTGTTTGTGGTCACTTGCAGGGAAAACTGAGAACTTTGAAGATTCCTTCAAGGATTCCAAGATGAATGTGGGAGACATGGCCTTAGCCTTGTACTCTGCTCTATATTCCTATTCTGGCTGGGACACCCTCAACTTTGTCACAGAAGAAATCAAGAACCCAGAACGGTAAAGCGGGTCACCTCAGAAACTATGGCACTGGCTTTAAAGATCTTTTTCTAGAACTTGTGTTTTAGAAAGAAATGTGGTTTCCTTCAGATACTGCAGATATCCAGGTGACAGAGTTTATCATTATAAGAGTATTTGAGGACAAGCACAGCTAGGTAAAAAACTCTGGTTTCTTAGAGAATAAGCTCTGCAGCGATAACAGCACTTATGGGATACTCACCCACAGCACATCCATTTTGAACATTTTGCCAAGAACCAAATACTGTCTCATTTTGTAAGGTTCCCTGAGGTATTGAAGTTGAAAATACAGTTTACCTGCTGTGAAATACATTTTGGTACTGGCACAAATCCTTCATTAAGCACAGTTACATCCTAAACACTTCCTAGTTCTCAAGCTTTTAAAATCCCTTTAATGTTACTATATAAATTTAGACAGCATGTTTTGTTCAGCCTATTTGGATTTAAGATATCTCTTTGGAGTCCAGCATCAATGCATGAAAGTAAAATGAGTCTCGTATTATGGCAAACTTCAGGTATGGTTCATTATGAGCAAAAACAATAATTATTTCTTCATTTTTTTAGAATTGCCAGACCACTAACATAGTTACCAGCTTGTGAACAGATATGCAACAGCAATGGTTAGAGATCTTTCAGACTTGTTATTTGTTTTAACAAAAGTTCTTGTGGGTTACAGTACTTTTTGTTTGGAATATACCTAAATCAAAACTTCAACTCACCTTCTAAAAGCAAACTTGATGGAGATCTTTACAGTTCCTAGTTACATTTCTCCTCTGCCCAGTGGAAATCTGCAATTCTATACTTGCTTTGGAATTGGTGGACAGATTGATGTTTTGGCATAAATGTAAGGTGTTTATACTTTTGAGGTTAAATAAAGTAATTTTCTTCTAATGTTTTCAATATTTTACTTTGCTCCTGAGTGTCTTAGCCAGAAAAGGCACACACTGGGATGGCTAAGCTTATGTGGGTCCCAGAAGTGGGGAGTTCAAGCTATTTCACAAGTCGATTGTAGCTGGGATTTCCCAAGTGACAGTTCACAGCTGGCTGAGTGGTACCAGGGCAGGGCAGAGTTTACTGACAAGAGCAAGAGATTCACTTCTTGCCCAGTCAGTGATACCACAGGAATGGTGGAGCTTGTAAACTGTCAAATTACAAATGTCTCTGCAGCCTGAGGCTCCACGAAGCATGGCCACATGGTCTAAGAGTCATTACAGAAAAGCCAGGACTTAAAACAGTTGCCAGTTTTCCTATTGGGTGGGGCATAGAGCAGAAAAATGTGCAAATTCCATGTTTTGTCAATTCTAAATCTTGCAGAGACAAATTGTCTAAATGTATTTATGTATTACATTTATGCCTTAAATGTATTTTTTGTAAACAGCATCTTGATGTAGAAATATAATTCTTCATCATCTTATGCTTTTTAACTTTGCTTTAACTTTATTTAACTGCTGTTTAACATATTTTTAGATGTTTCGACTTGAAACATCTGTAAAAATTAGTCAGTACTCAGTAGCTAATTCTTCTACACTGGTCACCAGTGTTGCACTATTTGGAAGAGGTTTTTCTGTGCTTTACTGTAACACCCTCAGTTGTAAAAGAATGTTTTAAAATATGATAATGGTTTTTGACATTGGTACTGACACTGACACAAAAGAATCAGATTTATTTAAGCTCTCTTCAACAGCAACTACAACAGTCTTCACCAAAATGTACACTGCTGTGCAAGCATTTTTGACATTTTGCATTATGCTGCAGTTTTCACTCATGTTTTCCGTATGCAAAATCACAATCCCATGGTAGTCTACTGAAAATTTAGCCATTTTAAACAAAGCTAACAGTTACTCCTGATCTGTATTTTATTGTACAAAATTAGTCTTTCAGTTTAATACAATAATTCTGCACTGCAGTTTATGTAGAAGTAAATACATTCTGGCCAGTTGTGTAATACACCAAAAGTCCACAGCTTTGCTCATCACTTCTGATTCTGTCCTCACCTTGGTTTCCACTTGAGTGGAGTCGTTAGAAAGCCCATTCAGCAGATGGAGCCAAGGATCTAGCTTAAGTAAAAAAATCCAGCTTTCACTTAAAAAAAATAAGGCTATCAACTTAAGCTGCATGGGTAGCTTGTTCCACACTCCCACAACCCTTTATGTAAAGAAGAGTTTCCTTTTTTTTAATTTACGTTTTCTATGTAGTTTCTGGTTTTTTATAAGACCATAAGGTCCAAGTTAATTTTATGTTCATTGTTATGAACATGATGTATACATATCCTCTCTGCTCCAGGTACTATCTGATGCAGAAGCTATTTAAATAATTATTTGAATAATAATTGTTGTGCAACATATTATCATGCTTATCCTGTGTAATAAGAAGGCAAAGTGGGAATACGTACTAGTTAAAAACAATTACTGTTGTATATGTTTGTTTATTTTTTGTTGTTACAGTTCAAGTTGGTAGTTTTATGGTATTTCCTGCAAACCCCCACCCAGTATGAGAACTCTCTAGCAAACTTTGTTTCAGTGCTGCCACCTAATGATTGTCTTGCTCATGACAAAAGCGGCACTCCAGGGGAAAGGAAAAACTGTCTGTTTTGTTTGCCTGGCTATTGCAATAAACACAGTTTGCATTATTTGAATTTGTCAGTTTCTATTATAGTGGCAAGGCATCAAAAATAGTCTATATAGTAAAAAAAACATTCCAGCTAAAAGAAGCTTTCTGTCATCCATTGACATATATTTTAAAAAGACTCTAATAAAAGAGTTGTAATGTTTTTTTTAATCTACATTGTTTCTTTTCCTGACAGGAATCTCCCATTGTCAATAGCCATTTCAATGCCCATTGTTACCGTTATCTACATCCTGACCAACATTGCATATTATACTGTGCTCGACATTGATACAGTCCTGTCCAGTGAAGCGGTGGCTGTGGTGAGTATTTTAAGAGGGAAAAGCATTTGTCTACATGCAGAAAATCATCAAAGACTAGGAGTTAGTTTTTCTTCATCGAACAGGAGACCCTTTCTAAGACACCGTATCTTGAGAAAAGAAATTAAGATGTAATTTTCTGGTTGCCACAGAATGTGTGCTGTTTTTTCAAAGGAGGGGTTTGTTTTCCATTTTTATCTTGCTATTACTGACATTTTCTGATGATTTACCTTATAGGTTATGTTATAATGTTAAATGCTCTTGAAATTCTTAATGGAGTTTATAAGCGAACATTAGACACCAAGGGCTCACCCTCCACCTAAGGGAGAAGTATAAATACAGGTAACAATTCCTTTCCCATTCCTCTCTCCCATTCACAGCCCATGCAGTGGCATATTAGCTCATTTGACCTGATGGTCGGGTGATTCCTCCTCCTAAGCAGGTTAAAGCTAGATCAGTATGTAGGTTACTCATGCAACAAGACTTACAGCAGTAGAGTTAGTCCACACGCTGTTGAGTCTAGAAAAAGCTGTAACAATAATAATCTTTTATATACTACAATGGAAAACATACCACAGCAGAAACAAAACACTATACCACTCCTTTTAATGCTAAACAGATTGTCAATTAAATTTTAAGTCATGGCAGAGTCTAGACAGTTTTTTGTATCTTGCTCCAGAATTACGAGGTAAATATTACATTGTTTTTAGGTGTTAGTGTGACTGACATGATAACACTGCAGTAGGAAGAACTAGCACAAGACTGTAATACCCAGAATTCTGCAGGAAGAAAAAAAATGGTTTATCTGGTGAGAGAGAAAAGGAGCTCTTAACAAATAATTTTTCAGAAGTGATTTTTCTTTGTGTATTTTAGTATAACCAATATGTAACTTATAGAACAGAAAAATCAGAATACAGGATCTGCCCTGTTTTTTTTATAATTTTTAATTCCTAGGAAAAGAAATGCAAAGCATTTTATCTGGCTTTGCCTCAAAGCCTGTTCTTGGTGCTAAAACGATTAGCAAAACACATTAATAGGCAATGTTGCCTATTAATGAAGTCTATAGAGAGTTTAACTGGTGTGTCTTTCTTTTTATTTTGTTTAGTTCTGTAATGCAAAATTTTTTTTTGTCTGTTGAAAACTGTTCAGAGTTTCTGAAAAAGATTCTAAATGCTGATAGTATTGAAGAGTATGAGGAAAGCAAAAAAGTGAAGAAAAATATGCTGAAAAGGGAATTAAAATTCTTTGTGTACAACCCTGAAATACTGGAAACAGGATTTACAGAAATTAATGGTGATGGTTGTTTCCTCTTCAGTTAATGTACTCTGGCCTTTGTTAAAGAAGGGATGGTGTACCATCTGTTCCAGCCAGATCCTTTGGCACTGCAGATACTCAACACAGATTGAACTCTGTGTTGGGAACACATGGCATCAGACAAAGGGCATATAAAGATGTCCTTTATATTCTATCTATCCATCCATTTTCTATTCTGCTTACCCAGTTCAGGGTGACGGGTGGAGCCAGAGCCTAACTTGGCAAGCAATAGGCATTAGGTGAGATGCACTCTGAAAAGGATAGTACTGCAGGGTAAGCACAGACATAAACACAGGCACACATACTCACAACAGGGCCAGTTTTATAGAAGTCAGTTCACATAACTGCACATCTTTGGACTGTGGCGGGGGGGAACCAGAGCACCCTGAGGAAACCCATGTACTGTAAACACACGGAAAACATTAAAACTCCAGGCAGAGAGCACCTCAGGAACTGAGGAATTGGGCCCCAGAGCTGCGAGGCTGCAATATTAACTATTGCCCCACTGTACCATCCAGTCCTTTTTATATTATTTTTAAATTTTCTGTGTTTGGGGATTCACTGTTTAATAGGTATATCTCTAATATGGCATATATAAAAAAACTCTGTTCCATGTTGTTGATGAAACATAAAGCAACTGCGGTGATCACAAGCCCATAGTCCTATGTCTTTACGGGGTGGCAAGGAGCAGACGGCCGACCACATCCTATACTCCTGCCCTCGCTTCAGATGCCCCAGCAACTTTACCGGTTTGGATAATGCCAGCCGCGATTAGCTGAGGCACCTGACTGTGACAATATAACTATGTAACCTCTGCATGTTAAGCTCATAAATAAGGGGGTCATGTGATTATACTGTAGGTAATGATTGTTACGTCCCAGTGTGTGTTCTGTGTGTGTTTTTTCTGTTATGTCCACACTGCTGACCCTTGATTGTTCTCCCTTCCGCATTGGCCAACCATCACACCACTGTTTCAATATGATGTCATCATCAATCAGCCTTCAGCCAATCAGAACACATTTTATTCACTACTTAACATGGAGGCTTTCAGAAAGAAAAGGCCTTTCGTTTGACTTCGGTCCCGTTCGGTTTTGGTTTTCGCTTCGCTTCGCTTCGCTTCTTGTTATTGCTTCGGCTTCGGCTTCGGCTTCGGCTTCGGCTTTGTTTGTTGGTTTGTTTTGCTTTGTGTGTGTTTATTTTCGTATAGCTTCGGCTTTGTTGTTTTGTTGGTTTATGTTAGTTTCTTTGTACTTTCGTTTGTTTGTGTGTTCATCCTTGATTTGTCATTACCTTGCCCAAGTGTTACATGTTCAACTTTTGTGTTCTTTTGTACCCTGCTCCTGTTGATTACTCTTGTTTTCCCTTATTTGTATTCCTGGTTCACTTGTGTTTTTGTGTGAACTTTTTGTATATAAGGTTAGTTTAGGTTGTTGGGTACACTTACACACTTAGTTTGTATTAGTACACTAGTTTAGTACGGACGAGTGCCATTTGTCTTGTATGGTTTTGGGTAGTCAGTGCAGGTTAGCTAGGGTGTTGAAGACGCCAAAGACCGTGTGTTTCGGGTTTTCTTTTGTAGTCAGATTAGCTTTCCCTCACTGTCCTAGCCAGCTCCATTTTGTTTGTTATTTTCTTTCCTTTGGCACCACTCTAGTTCCTTACCCTTGTTATCACGCTTCCTAGTCCCTCGCCAGAATCCCCCTGCTTCCAAAAGAATTATCCTAAATGTTACACCCCTTTACCCCTAGACACTTGGGGTCGTAACATGATAATGATTTACCTTCTGTTTTGTTTATTCTAATGCATTTCTAGAGTTTGTTCTGGTTTTGCCTTAATATTCAATGCCTTCAATATAAAACATGGCTTGCTTTATCTTCAGGTAGGATGTTGATTTGAATGTGTTCAATAGACCACCATGCCTTTGTGATCTACCCATAACCTAATGGGTATATTTGCATAAGCAACTCTTTGCAACTGTCACTATTAATAAGTTCATTACTTGTCCCGTAAACAGTATCATATTTATGAATTTTTGTAACATTTTATCATCGAGTTTGTCCCGTATGATGCATTATGTTAGGGAGACAGAATTGAATTTGAAAGTGAGTAGAAATTTTGCAATTAATTAGTTTGATTTCTCACCTTTAATCCTGATGATGTTGTGATGGTAGGAATTTGCCTTTTCATGTATATGCATGTATCTGTTTTTCCTTTAAGACATTTGCTGACCAAGTACTTGGCTTTGTTAAGTGGCTGATACCATTGTCAGTGGCAATATCCTGCTATGGAGGATTGAACTCTTCTGTTATAGCTGCTTCTAGGTAAGTAACTGAAAAATGACCTTGCAGAAAAAGAGCACAACCAAGAACATCCTTCACGTTTAGAGGATGTTTTTTGTGGGAAAAAGTCCCCAGCAATAAAGTACTTAAGTAAAGTACAATAAATATGCTCCAAGGTAACGGCAGTGTGTATTTAAATAAAAGAAAGATCTAAAATGCACATCTAAACAATCTTTGTGTCCTACCTCACTGTGAATATGTTCTAAAGTAATTAAATGCTGTGCAGTTGACTGGCTTTCTTCTTGTGCTGGAATCGGAATGCTTCCTCCTCTTCTGCTCCCCTGCAGGCTGTTCTTTGTTGGATCCCGGGAAGGTCACCTGCCGAATTTTCTTTGCATGATCCATGTGACGAGGTACACTCCTATTCCTGCCTTGCTGTTCAATGTAAGTACAAATGGAATTAGACACTTGGTCTGTTGATATTCTTTTATGCACTTAAACATTTGGAATTGCCAGTTACATTTTTTGCCTTTATTATTCTCAACCAATTTGGAATTGCCTGGAGGTGATCAGCTCGACTTGCTGCTACATCTCCTACACCAGCATGTGTGCGAATACAGGCATACTTTTGACCATCTTAGCTGTCTTAGCTGCTCACCACAATGCATGTGTTATCTGGGCTACAAGGTTCAAACTCCGTCTAGGCAAGAACCTTTGCTGATACAGGCCTTTTTTGACATCATATTCTTAGGTTTGGATTAAGGGCACATAGGAGGGGAGATGGCCTGTTTACTATTTCCAATAACTCCATAGATCCCCTTCATGCCTTTCCTGCTTTTAATATTCACATTTGTCCAACAGCCTCCCCGCAACTCTAATTTTATCTTTTTTCCTTTGGCTCAGACTCATTTTTCTAAATGGTAAACTGTAAAGTAACTTTGACATCAGTGAAACTAATCTGACACTTGTAACATGTTACATTTATTTATGCTATTTATCTTATTAATAGTTGACCATAATTAAATCTATGTTATATTAAGACAAATAAACAGAATACGGCTGTCATGTGTTGTTTAATTTAAAACAGGGTGGAATGTCTCTGATCTACCTCTGTGTGGAGGACGTCTTTCAGTTGATTAATTACTTCAGCTTCAACTACTGGCTCTTCATCGGCCTCTCTATCGGCAGTCAGATTTACCTTCGTGTCAAGTTTCCAGACATGCCTAGGCCTGTCAAGGTGAGGTGGACTGAAAAGAGAGCATTTGGCATTGCCTTTATCATATCTCAAGTAAGTTAATGTAAATGGAAATCCCTAAATACATAGCAGTTAATTCATTAGGAATCCCTATGAAAAGAGTGGCAGAAATTCTAACCATATTTCAGTCCTATTGACGTAATCTCACTTCTTTTTTCCACTCCCAGCTGAGCCTGTTCTTCCCTATAGTCTATTGCATCTGCAGCGTGTTTCTGGTGGTGATGCCTCTATACAGCGACACTGTTAACTCCCTGGTGGGAATAGGTGTGGCTCTTTCAGGCGTGCCTGTCTACTTCGTCTGTGTGTACCTCCCACCTGAGAAGCGACCTGCCTTCCTTGAGAGAATGCTTGGTAAGATCTGCAAAACAGAGCAGTTAAATAAAATGTTAAAATGTAAAAAATGTACGTGAGTAGTAGATATAAATGTGGAGCACGTCAGGTTTGGCAACAGACTATTTGTTTTCTGGCACAAATGTGGTGAAAGAGTAATAAAATAAGTTTAAACTTGACACACAAATATTTATTAACAGTAAGATAATACAACTAAACAAAACATTACAGAACATACATCATTAAACACTAAACTATATACAAAACTATGCATTTCAGTGTCCTTCGTCCTACAGACCCATAAACCTACACCTGTAATCTGAAACAACACCTTGATAGGCTAACAAAAGAAAATTCTCTACATCCTAAATAAAACAGTATAACCCAAGATTAAATCTCTTTACCATATGGGTGCCCAAAAGTAAATGTGAATCTTGCTATTCTGAAAATGCATCACTTAAACCAGGTGAGATTATTTTTAGCCTGAGGATTCTACAATAAAGGAAATCATAATTTCTTAAAGTAAATAAGACAGCAAGCTCTCTAAAATGAGGGTCAAATTACTTATCCATTATCTGGTATCCAGGAGAGGTCACAATGAGGTCCTCTCACATGGCACAAGCATAGAGAAGGACAGTGGTCATGGTATTTCTTTTTGTCTCTGGCTCATCTCTATTTCTTGTTTTCTGAGATAAATTTCAAGACACTAATTGCAAATATGGTAGATTTTATGACCCGCGGCTAGGTTGTAATAATTTCAAGCTACTAATATCTCTAGATACTTACAAAGATATTAGAAAGTCATAAAGATTTGCTTTAATATTGTGCAACTCTTTTTTTTTTTCATGCAGATTATTCCTCAGGGAATGTTTTGACCTTTAAAGTGGAAAGGGTATTGACCAGAGTAATGAGATAGGAAAAACACACACACTCATACACCCCAAAGGGATGCCTGCAGTTAAAAATAGATCCATTACTCAGTCTCTAGACAGGTTTGTGAGAAAGCCATCCACCGAAATCTGAGACTATTAATATCCATGTTGTGAAATTGTAAACTTATGTTTACTTTTAATAAGGAATATATTGATGTCAATATATTGTGGTGTGAATATTATTGTAAATATTTGTGAATTTTTAATGAAGTACTAACTTACACTGGGTCTTATGGAACAACAGAAAGCTTTTACAGTATTAAAAAATGGACTACCAAGCACTTCAACATAATAATAACCATCGCAACAAAGGAAACCTGTTTTTATCTTTATTTAAAAAAAAGTTAAAAAGAGTTTTGAAATTTGAAGTGCAGTTTATCCAGATGTCTATACAGCCTTACCTCAAATTATGAATCACTAAAGAAAACTTAAGGGAATGTAACTATGTAATTATTGTTTAGCAGTTACAAAGATTTTCATTATAACAAAGGTCCATCCTTCATAGATAAACAGAAGATGCCATCTTCATAGTGTGACCTCCCACAACACAGGTCCCCAGTGTGTCTGAGTTCTTAGAATTTGTGCACGCTTTACCTCATTTATACCGTATGTCTTGTTCATTACTGTACTAGGGTAAATAAGATAATTATCATAAGCGAGGGTGTTCTTATGTTTAAAATTCAGGGCTGTGTTAGGGTCAAAACCTATAATGATGGGTGATTTTCAAACCCTCAGAAACAAATTGGAAAGTTTAACATGTAAAGTAATTCCATTTTTTATTTAGGAATTTTCATAATATGAACAGTTTTCAAGGTACAGATTACATTCAGAAATCAAGGAATAGGCATACTGTATATAAAATGTATATTTGATTTAGCATTACTAATGGATCACTTTGAATTATTATTGTATATTAGTGCTATTACAGAAGAGACGAGTTCCCAGAAAGCCTGCTTAATTTTATCAAAGCCAACCTTCAAATCAAGTTTGGCTGATTATCAAGTGGATCCAGTTGAGTAGAAGAAGAGGTGGTTATGAGGTTCCTTGGAACAGAGTCAGAAGGGAAAACGTCAATTTTCTGGGATTTCAGCTGTATTCGAAGCAAGATTTATTATTTAGGTCAAAGTAGCAGTTATTTTATGAGACTGGTTATAAAATTTAGTTCAATACCATCATGACCATGGGTCTATTATTGTCACAAAGTTCTTCTGATTCAGTAATGGACAGTATAGTAAAACTGAAGGGGCTTTGGAACTTGCCTGCAATAAAAGTATTATTGAAAAGTATTGACTTATCAGATAGACAGCTAGCATTAATGGAATGTTCATTGAATGATGTACCACTAATTTTTAATTTGTCACAATATCTGTCAGTAACTGAAACTGGTAAATAGTTTTTCTTGTGAGAAGCATAGTTATTGGAGGTCTTTTTCCTTTTTTATTTTTATTTAACTGTTTAGAAGGAAAGGAGGTGTTCATGTACTTCTTACTTGCATTTTGCAGATTTCATTTCTCAGAACATCCAGAAACTGTGCATGTGCTGCCTGACCGACCCTGAACTTGATCTGGATGATATCTCTGAACCAAAGAAAGATTAACACCCTACAAGAGAAACTGAAATTAGCCCTACCTAACTGTGCAGTGCATTACAAGGCTGTTTTGCAGCCATCAATGATTCAGTAATTCAAAGTTTAAATTGGTTAACAGTATTTACAAAACTTGTCAACTTTTGTTCTGTGCACCAAAAGCAAGATGTGGGGACTTTTTTTATTTCTTAAGTGTAAACCCTTGGACAATCCAGTCAGTTAAAGGAGGGACGTGAAACTTTGTCCATTTTGCTGAGGTGTTTTCCATTGTGCTTCAGCTAGTTTAGGTCTCTGCTCCCTGTAGCAGAAAGACACTAGTGAAGGTCTGTCTTTCAGCAATAGATTCAAACCACATGGGCACTGGGCACAGGCTGCTTTGGTTTCCACTTGGTTTGACAATGAAGGAGTGGCGATTGGATTTTTATATCTATTATTTATAAGTTGAACAAACTGTAAATGCCAGAAGGTTTTATTTTTGAAGGTTGGTATTGTGGCCTTATTTGCCTGAAGATTTATAAATTCAGTCCTTCAGTGGGGTGTCAGGTGAATCAGGTATTTTCTTTGTATATACATCTGTATCTATATGGATATAGATAATATTGTATATAAGAATATATTAATTATTGCTAATTATATATACTATATATATATTATCATGTAATACCTGCCTCAGAATGAATGAGGCACAAGTCTGTTCTGGTTATAACATGTTGAGTCTTATTTTGGGGTGGTTCATTAAATAACTGCCTGGTCAGCTGTAAAATATTAATTGGTGGTTAAGTGTGTACAAAGGTTGTAATTCAATTGCATCCACATTCAGTCACTAAATGCCTCACAAAAGACAGTAACACAACTAAGGAAATCCATTGAAAGGTGGAAATTGCTTCCAGAAACACTTCACCTTTTTTTATCAAGTCACATTGTAGCATAAAAAATGGAATGCAAAGAGACAAAAAGGCTTTACCAAAAAGGTGGTCCTTGTTCTTTCTCAGCCAGCTAAAGCCTATTCTCTTGAAGGTTGTTAAAGAACTGTGATGAGAAGTGAGCTGAAATGGGAAGACACAAGCTATCTATCTTTGAAGACATCCAAGGCCAGGCCTCACTGTGTTTCAGCACTGTTGACTTTTACAAACCTGCTTTGAAATTAAAACAAAAATTGAGACTGTTGAACAAGAATATTAGAATTAGAAGAATATAGGAATATTATTGATAATGCAATGTGGGTTTCCAGCTGGAACCTCAGGACCAACAAACAAGTCTGTGAGGTGTAAGCACAAGGGATCTTGGTTTGAGATACACATACACCTAATCAACAACTAAGACAATGTCATGTCATATTGCCAAGTCAGGTCACTTTTGGGCTTTGTGTAGTTTAGAGGACTGGGTCATTAAACGGTTCCAATTCACTAATTACTCTTCAGAAAATTTAAAAATTAGGTTTGTGGAAAATTTAATTTTCAAGTGATATGGTTACTTGCATTGTTAAGCGCCTTGGGGCAACCTTGTTGTGAAAAGCGCTATATAAAAATGAATTGAATTGATAGAGTTCAAGGTGGTAAAGGCTTAGTGAATTGGAGAACCAGATTTTGGCTATTGAGTAGGACTGCTGTCACTAAATGAATAAGTGCAGAACTGTGGAGATGTGTAGAATTGTTACAAAGTAATGAAAATTAATTTGCATCAGCTACTCTCCTTCCTATTCACATAGAATTACATTTTGGGCAACTCTTGTGTGTGTGTGTGTGTATATATATATAGAAATATATAGTTTGTACTCTTTGCCTTGCCTTAAGATCATCTGGGGTTGCCATATTTTTCTTATGAGAGTCAGGCCACAAAGGGGAGGAGACGGTTTAAATTAATCATTTTGGCTTGAATTGAGAATTTCTGTAGTGCCTTTCTCTCCACATACGAAGCTGTTGTCATATGTTATTGTTTAAAACTTTACGGTGCTTTTCAGTTTTTGTATTAAAAAGTGTCCTTTAAATTTAAAATGCAAGATGTCTTGTATCAAAGACCAGGATCTTTTTGAATCATATTCTTGATAACCCAGAATGTGATCTTGACAGTCTTGGTGTAATGCTTTTTTTAAGTATACGTTGAGAATAGATGTCACTCCAAAAACCAGCAAATGCACTTCACTGAGTCTCTCAATTCAGTAAGGATTTTCTTAGAAATGGGTATTAAGACCAACTGATATTTCTTAAGAAGTACAGTCCTGTAAAGAGTTTAAGTGTATTTTGATATTTTTATTGAAATTAACTACAAATCTCTGCTTTTATGAGCTAATACTGTATCAAAATCCAAAACCAACAGTTATGTAAAAGAACAAACAAATAAGTCACCAAACTTTGAGTGTAAGGAAAGTTACATTTGATCTGATTAATGAATGAAATTCATATGCTGAAAAATGCATTTTATTTCCTGCTATTCTTACATCGTTCCCACTACTCTCTCCAGTAAAAGCAGACATGAAAAAGGGTAGATGTATAACATTGTTTGGTAAAAAACCCTAATGCAGTTGGATTTTTAAGGTCAATATAGTTCAAGGATGGAGACACAAACCACCACATAAACTTGATGAACAATTTATTTTTTAAAAGACAAACAATTATTGTAGCAATTCACACCCTCATAGGATATCAGCTGTTTAATGTAATAGCGATAGTTATCTTCATATATTCACAAGTTTAGTACATTTCTTTAATTGTTTGAACAACTGAACTTTGAATAATGAGTAGAACTTACTCTTTTATATTAAAAATATCTTAATTAAGGAATGCCTGGAAAATCATTTTATCTGATGCTCATGACATTTCAGTTTAACCAAAGTGGTAATTGTGTACCATGTGCTTCTTGACTTCAACTCTTCAAGTTGTGGATTTTCAGAAATTTTTAGATTTAGATTTTTTATACCTCCCAACCCTGCTTTGGAAGCAGCAGGTGTTAATCAAAGCAGCTTTTGGCAACCTGTTTCATACCAGCTTGAAGAGCGATGAAGATAGCATTCTCTCATCCACTGAAATGTATGCTGTTAGACCAGCCATTCCCTATTACAATGCAGTCTGGCATTAACAGCATGTGTAGGGCATCATAGGACCACCAGGGATCATTGTTGCACAGCAAACCAGGGAATGCCAGTCTGACACTGAACCAGGGATTCCCTTATGACCCACACACACTCATTACTTCTGTTCTCTTCATTGTTTTGCAAAGATTGTACTGTAAGACAATGCTTATTTTACTTCCCCCACATAAAATTATATAAATGTATCTGATAGTAGGTGTACCTTCACTTGGTGTGTTTCATATGTTCTTTGATACTACCAATAACAAAATAAAGTTTACAAACTACAGGAGGCCATTTGATCCAGCTAGCCTGTTTCGTAGTATGTTGCCTCCAATGTGCCTTTGCATGGATAAAGATCTGTCTACTATTGTCAGTTATTCACCAAAGTCAGCCACATCCAAAAAACATTTCAGTTATGAGCTATGCACCTCTTTCTTAGAAGTATTTGGTTAATTAGTATAGCTTTTCCCTCATGAGCTAAACATCTTAATCTGACAGAAACAAGCTCCTAGATGTCTACTTTTTTGCAACATATGTTCTCAAAGATTTTATAGACGTTACAGTTAACTAAGCTTATGCCTCATAGGGTGGGTTTTTATGTTCTTGAAATAGAATTTTAAGGTATAAATCAGGATTTGTAACCTATTTTTTAGTAAATGTGATTTTGATTTGGTGTTACTAGGTATTTGTACCATTCTATTGAAGTACACAACATGGGTCCATTAATTTGGAAGTGACAGTTTCTGTATAGTGGGCTGAAACCCAGTCCTGTGTTCAAGAACCCCTGTTTCAGTTCACAAGGGTCAAGGCAAGTTCATGTGAAAAATCTTCAAGGTACATACTTGCCTTACTCTTCTACCTCTTGATGCTGCATAATCATACTTACAGAGCCTTTTCTCCACTTGATGTGTTCTTATGATTCCAGTAACTCCTGTTGTATTGTTTCTGAGAGTTATAGTGGTATAGTGTTTTGTTTAGGAGAGAGTATCTTGTACTGAACATTGTACTAAAGTGGTATTGTTCTTTGTTTAATCATTATTCTGAATCTTGGAAGTTTTTAATAAATCTAGAAACTAATGAATAAAAATGCCTGTGGTCCTTTTTGTATTTTGTTTTCATTATATGCAATACATTTGAAAGCAGCTGCATGCAGCTGATTTGATTTATTTTGTCATTAAGTCTGGGAAATCTTTTCAGTGCAGCATGTTCCTATTAAGGTAAAACAATGTTCCCCCATACATTGTAAAACATTGCACAACCACCAGTCCCCCCTTTCAAAATCAAGTGATACCTATAGAGTGTTTTCTCTCTTATCTCTCTAAGATCATCCATTCATCTGTTATCTCACATAATCTAGTTAAAGATTACAATGACCCAGAGCACATGGAGTTTATAACAGAGGTTTGGGTGGAAGGTTAGATCCTAATCTTGCTAACTTCTGCTCACTTATGTACAGAATATATAAGTCTCTTAGCCAGGACTATCCTTGGCATACTAATATATCTCTCATCCATTCTGCTACCTCATCCTACACCCTTAACTGCATCTCCCTATCTGACTCTTCGCAATAATTTGAGCTGTCTTCATAACTTGGCTGGCAGTCACTTAGCTAGTAATATAATGTATTCTACTTAATTTAGCCTTCTTTCATATTCATTAGGATCTAATTGAACTACTGAAAACCCAGTTACAATCCCCCAAATGGGAGTAATTATGCTCATATGTTTTCATTTGAAATAATCCAATCTATCAAACCCTTCCGAATGTTTATAATGTCTGTAAAATAAAGCTGTGCACCAGAGAGCGGTTTCTAATTATTTTGTAGGTTTTTAGTAGTCTTGTTTTTTCAAATTCCCACTAGATGGCACTATAGTTAGTTATAGTTCAGGTGGGTAGCTGCGTCAGCATGCGTAGGCTGCAAAGGAACAAGTAATAGGTTTATTCCATGCTGAAAAAAAGAAGAAAGAGAACACAACGTTTCAGCCGTGGAGCCTTCTTCAGGTGTCTTCAGGAGCCTTCTTACACCTGAAGAAGGCTCCACGGCCGAAACGTTGTGTTCTCTTTCTTCTTTTTTTTCAGCATGGAATAAACCTATTACTTGTTCCACTATAGTTAGTTATTTGTATTGTCTTCCCAAGTGGCTCCATCAGAGAAATGTGGTGAAATTTCTGTAGGTACTTAATATTTACTGTTTATTTTAAAAAATGATTATGGTAATTGTGTTTTGAATGCTTTCAAAATATTTAAGGAAGTATGTTTATACATCTTACAGAGTCTCACTCTGTGACTCTTCAAAAGCTCTTTAGTTCTGCTTTAAACTGGTTGGAGATCTTTTAGAGACCAGCAAATAAATTAATATACATGATACATACTTTGTTAATTTATGAAAGTAACTCTCTTTAAGGTGTACATCAAGCAAAAGACAGAAAAAGAAAATATATATTTTTAAGCATATTTTGAGGTGAGAACTAGAATTGATTTGGAGGTTGAAAACAACAAAGGTTACAAATTAGAAAAGGTAATTTAGTCCACATGTCTTTTTTTCTAAGAACACAAGAATGAGAACAAGAACACTAAGATCTGCAAATGAGAGGGTCCATACTACACTCAAGTTTTCACTATTATTTCTTAGAAGTATTTTGGAAGTGCAGTGGGTATAGAAAGTCAAAATTTGTACCTTTTGTTGTACGACGCTCTGAAAATAAAAACAAATTAAACTAGGCTTGTTCCATTTTTATTCACACACAATAACCCACATTAGCCAAGTAAAAATACAATTCAAAAACATTCTGAAAATTAATATTTCAACAGTAAAATACCTTATTTGGATAAGTGTCACACACACACACACACAGACACAGACACAGGGTCTATTTAGAGACTTAAATTACCCAAACCAGCTTGTCTTTGGAAGGTGGGCACGTATGAGCACAGAACTCAACACAGACAGGCATCTCAGTCCAGAATCAAACACAGGACACTGGAGCTGTGAGGCAGCACTTTTAACCACTATTAAACTGTGCTGCTCAAATCACTGAAAATAAAAACTGTGCTGTTCAGATCACTGCAGATAAATCAAATTGCTTTTTATTCCTTGTTCCAGACAGTGGAGTCCTTGAGGCGGTGCTGAATAGTCTTCAGGAAGCTTTTTGAGTGATGCCATCGTTTCAGACTCATTTTTCTCTATGAGAATGACTACACCTACTGCACAGGCCTTTTTCACTCAACAATATTTCAATTTTGTGACAGCAAAGCAAAAAAAACAACAGTGAAACATGAATTAGAACTGGAGCTAATTCTGTTATAATGTAGGTTAAATATATTCCTGTAATAAAGTTTTGACAAAGTGTTACAATGTTCCCAGCCTAAGTATAGATAATGTTTTATGCCCTGGAGATCACACAGCCTGACTTTTTAGTGGAAATTTTAAAACTCAATTTCAGAATTAGACAAGGACAGTGCGACAGCTCCTATCACTGTAGTTAGAGGGCTAGAGCAAGGTATTCCTTCTTCATGCTAGTGATGGCAGCAGAGCAGAGATGGAAGGAGCTCTGTTTTGCTTTGGCCTTTTGTCAGCTTCTGCCTGGCAGGGATCACATTTCCACATCATGATCATCTGCAGCTTCTGTTCCTTCTAGGCGGCTTGGTGCTCAGGCTTGGGGGGGAGAGGAGCAGGCTCATTAATGTACCAGCCTCTCAGTGCAAAAGGAATTATGTCCCCAACCTCATGCATAAAACATTGAAGCTGAGGGAAGCGTGAGGGGAGTCAGCCAGGTACAGTGTCACAGCTGCAGGAGAGATTGGACTGCCCAGACCTGAATGAACAGCAGGTCAGTTGAAACAGAAAGAAAAGACATCCTCCTCTGGGGCTAAAGATGAGGGACTTGCAAAGTGGGATTTTGTTTGTGGAGTGATGCGCATGGGTTACAGGGACATCTACCCTGCATTTGCCCTTCCCCCTCGAGAGGCCATGGATTTGTCTGGACGGCTCCACTGGATCAGGAAGCGGCCATGGAGAAACTGGGCCCCCAGACGGGACTTCAGCAGTAAGTGTCTCAGTGCGTGCGTCACTTTGAAGAACTGTGCTTTGCTTTAAAGCCTCTAGAAGGTGATGAGTCATTCTGTCTAACGTGGCCTGTGTACTGTGAAAGGGAATGTCATTCTGACTGACAGGATTCATCTTGTCTCAGCTTCAAATGTTGTTTTAATAGTCTCACTAATTCTTGCTACAAGACCAAAGTAGAATAATTTTTTATCATTTACACAAGCACCTAGTTTTAGCACTATCTGTTAAAGCACAGACTTGCTGTCAGTCTCTCTCTGTGAGCATAATTAGCTTCTCAAAATCTCAAGGCAAAGTTTGATTTGGATTCTGTAGTCATATTTGTTCTTTAAATTGCTTGTAATGTCTCAGCTGCTGCATTACCACATGATAGCTCTAAGATAATTTAAGTGAAAATGAAAATATGATAAATTAGGGGAACTTATTGCCTGTGCAGGGTACTATGGGATACAGCAATGATGAGATGACTTCAAAATAAAATGCACTGGTGCTTTTGGAAATGATTCTACTCGATCCTTTCTTTTTGTGAACAACTTTAGTTTGGAGAGGAGCACTACTGAAAAACTTAACACCTAAGGACCCCTAAAATGCCATCTAACAGCTATACCAGAGCCACCCTACAACAAGGCTTTGACGCTGATCTGCAGCTGCATTCCCCTTGACCCAGTGTGACCCCACTGGCACCATGGATCAAAGTAGCTGATAGCTCCATATAAGTAACATTAAGACAGGTCAGATCCTGTGATGCCAGGGGAGAGAATGCAGAGGCTTCCAATTCAGTGCCAGGACTTTTTAGCAGCAGTCAGACCAGCCCACCAGATCCATTTTTGCTGCTGTGAGACGCCCAGATAAGAGTCACAATCCAACAAGAGTTCTAAATGTGACCATGGAATGTGTGTATTTGGAATAAAGGACAAACGCAAAACAACCTGTTTCAGCTATTCATCCATCACTGGGACTCCAAAAATATGTAAAAATGTGCTGACAGGCAGGAGACTAGAAACTGTTTTAGAAAGTTATTGTCTGGGATCCACATACAGGTATTGAAGTAAATGTAAGTGGAAAATTCCATGGTAAGGATTTCTGGAGGCAGAATTGGAATTATCCTAAATTCTGTACCAGGAAAAAGGTCATCTGCAGCATTCAAGTCCCTGTCCTAAATTGGAACCACGGCTAAAGTTTTATAGAACGGTGCTGTAATAGAAGGGCATCCTTAGAAGAAGCCAGTTTTTTGGTTTCTACAAAGAGGCTGTACACTGGGTGTATAGACAACCTCGCCCTCCAGGGTGCAACGGCAGCACACATTGCAGTACACAACGAAAAAAGAGAGCTGTATGATTGCTTGAAATGTGGAGACTGGAGCACTCCAGCTTAGTCCCACTCCCTTTTGAAAATGCAGTGCATTCATTTAAAGGTGATCAGATAATTCCAACATACAATAAAAATTCCTTACACTTATATGGTGCTTCTGTGGACAGTTCACTCAGAGTGTTTTACGGGTAATGGGGACTCCCTTCCGCCACCATCTGCACAATGTGTAGCTCCCACCTGGATAATGCAGCAGCATTCAATCACTGGGGAGGAGAACAGAGTAAAGAAACCAATTCATACATGGTGAGTATTAGGAGGCCATGATTCATAAAGGATAGGGGGATATTTGGCTGAGGTTAACACCCTTCCATATAACCTTTATGATGAATAGGATGCTTTCTGCTAATGGATGGATGCTCAAAATTATCATTTCTTTCTTGGCATTAATTTACCCTATAACAGCTACATTCAAGAACAATGGTTTACAGAAAAGTCTCTGTACAGACTTTATCAGATATATGGATTCTTATATAACTTATAACTTGCACCTTTCCCAATTCATAACATTAGTATATATTTTAAATTAAATTATTAACTGTACACCTATAGGCTGCAGTAAGGTGGTATCTGCAATTGTAAAAGAAAAAGGTTAACTTTGCCAGGGCTGGACTACAGCTAGGATCACACCTTACCCCTTCTCTAAACGACAGA